CCCTTCAGGTACTGGAAGGCTGCTATTAGGTCTCCCCGGAGCCTCCTCTTCTCCAGGCTGAACAACCCCAGCTCCCTCAGCCTGTCCTCGTAGCAGAGGTGCGCCATCCCCCTGATCATCCTCGTGGCCCTCCTCTGGACCCTCTTCATCAGGTCCATGTCCTTCTTATATTGAGGGGTCCAGACCTGCACACAATACTCCAGGTGAGGTCTCACCAGAGCAGAGTAAAGTAGAAGAATTACCTCTCTGGACCTGCTGGCAACACAACTTTTGATGCAGCCCAGGATGGGATTGGCCAAGCCAGCTTACACCACCGGCACAGGGGAGCTGTTCTGGGCCAGGCCAACACCACAGCAGTTTTGCTAGCACAGCCAGCACCTCCAAACACTGCCCTGCTCCAGTCTGCCAGCAAAACACTCCCTGAACAGACCACCCCTTCCCACCTGCCTGTTACAGAGCCCTGGGAAATCATTACCCGGGACTGCCCCTCAGGTCAGGCAAAGCAGAGGGTGAAGAGCTAAAGGGACGGATCTGAACAGCTCCTGAGAAAAATCAAATCCCTTCCCTGCTGGCACAGGGCTCACAGCACTGCACCGCTTCCCAGAGACATGCACAGAAGGTAACAGCCTACCCAGCAGCTGAGCAGAACAGTGGTCACTTGGCTGTGGCCCCAGTCAGATGGGACACTTGTCCCCTGCAGCTCAGACAGGAGCTATCTTTGGGAAACACCACATAAGAAGGACATGCACTTGTTGGAGTGGGTCCAGAGGAGGCCACAAAGATGCTCCGAGGGCTGGAGCCCCTCTGAGGCTGAGAGAGTTGGGGGAGTTCAGCCTGGAGACTAGAAGGCTCCAGGGAGACCTTAGAGCCCCTTCCAGTCCCTAAAGAGGCTCCAGGAAAGCTGGGGAGGGACTCTTGATCATGGAGGGGAGTGACAGAATGAGGGAAGGGGCTCCAGGAGAGACGGGGAGGGACTCCTGATCATGGAGGGGAGTGACAGAACGAGGGGGAACAGTTTTAAACTAGAAGAGGGGAGATTTAGATGAGATCTCAGGAACAAATTCTTTCCTGCAAGGGTGATGAGGAACTGGCCCAGGTTGCCCAGAAAAGCTGTGGCTGCCCCATCCCTAGAGGGGTTCAAGGCCAGGCTGGATGGGACTTTGAACAACCTGGTCTGGTGGGAGGTGTCCAGAGCAGGGGGTTGGAACCAGATGATCTTTAAGGTCCCTTCCAACCTAAAGCATTATGTGAAACCCCCAACCTGCTATACCCCTCTCTCAGTAGTTCTAGTACAAGTACCAAGGGAAGTATATTTGAATTGGACCAAACTCCTGTTGGAAAAGGATGCTGGTTGGGTGGGGGAGGAAAAGGAAGAAAAGACTTACGCTGAGTTCTTCTGGAGCAGAGGAGTTTTGTCCCTGTGCAGAGGGGTAGTGACAATCACCTTCTGACTGCACACAGGCGTGGAGGTCAGAGACGGGTTCTCCAGTTCTAGTGTATCTTGTTTGGTCCAAAAGTTTAAGAACTGCACAGCACAGGAAAGAAAGAGAACACACTCAGTCTCAAGCATCCCAGCATAGTATTACAAGTCATTACCTTTTTCCTAAATGTGGGGGAAAACTTGAGTAGGGACAATCCCCTCATATTGACTGGCACCAGAGGGATCTGTCCCAATATAAACCAGGGTGACTCTTAAATAAGACTCCTTACATGGACACACACATGAGAGTTGCCAGAAGGTTAACAGGAATAACAAAGGTTATTCACTTCCTAAAAGGGATGAGCTGATGTGACCACAAGCAGCTACAGCGTGGGAGAGAAGTCTCTCCCCACACGGATCCAGATAAGGCCAAGCAAAATGCTGAAGGAGAAGTAATGCCAGTCCACCAAAGGTCTATTCCAACCTCAGGTTGGCAAACGTGAGGGAAGTCCGTGTAACACAACAGCGTGCAAGTTAACACATTTTGCACTGAGCTGTCTTCAACCTAAACTGTGAGAAAAATAACAAACTGTCTCACCTCTGCTAAGATTTTATTTCACAACAGCCAGTAAGTGACAACTTCACTCCCATAAGCAATGAAGTTTGTAGCCTCGGGAGAGAAGAGCTGCATGTGTTACATTCACTGATGGTTGAAGCTCAACCCAAGAGGCAGGACATGCCATTTGCCTTCTCAAATTCACTCCAGGGCTTCCAGCCTTTTACACTCAGCAGAGATGCCCATTTTGGGTCCCACTCTCATTTCCCAGTTCTTGCTGGCCTTGCACTTGAGGTCCACCTGAACCTGACTGTCAGACTGTCCTGTGGTGCTCTCTCATGTGCCACCCAGGGCTGCAGAAACAGCAGAAATAAAGGCCTGGAAGGCAGGGGCAGACAGAGCAGCTGTGGGAGCTCAGCAGCCTCTATTCTGTTTTATAGACCAAACTCCTCCACATCAATTCACAAAACAGTGGGTTTGAACACCACAGTGCTCCAAGGTGATGTATGTTGGAGACCAGGTGTGCACACCTGTGTGGATGCTGTAGGAGTTGTGACACGGGCTGAAATATCCTGAGTCCCTTTTGCAACGAAGACAAGCCCAGGAGCATTTTCTTAAGCACAGCAACTCAGGAGATCTGCACAAAGTGTGTGCTGCTGAGCCTGCCTGCGTGATTTAACTGGGAACGAACAGGGAAAGCCACTTTTCACTGTTGTCACTCTGCTACCCACAGCTGTGGCAGTAATGCCCTGGGGACAGAAACATCATGCTCCCCAGTGATCCTGCAGCAGGCAGGCACGTAGGTGTGCACAGTGGTGCTCCTTCCTCATAGCAAGCACGTGTCCTGCCCGTCACACAGGGCAGCTGGGCTTCCCTGACACTACAAGCCTCCCAGAGGTGGACACAGGCTGCTGCTCCCACAGGAAGGGCATCGCTGAAGATGAGCAGTGCCAAAACCCAGCTCTGCACCTTGTTTTAGCAGAGACACGCACCCTGTCCCCCATTCAAGGGAGGAGAAACACAAAGCTGGCAGAGCTGATGGGAACACATTAAGGGAAGCAGAGAGAGCACCAGCACACTCATCAGCTCATGACCAAGCCCAAGCAGAGGAGCACAGACTGGGCTCTGCCATCGCCCCATACCTGAGATGGAGAGAAGGGCAGTGTCTTGACGGGGGTGCTCTTGGGCGTCATGCTGTTGCAGGAGTCAAGGAAGGAAAGGCTGGTGCTGGTGGCGTTCTCCGTGACCGGGGAGAGGGAGATCTTCCTCTTCTTCTGCCTCTTCAGCACAGAGGGTGGCGTGCCAAAGCTCACCTCTGCGTGCGGAGAGATGGGGATGAGCTCCCCCTTGCTGCTCTTGCTCAGGTCGGAGATGGTGTGGCCGTCCAGGCGGTACTCGGTGACGTTGGGCAGGGATGGCAGTGGCTTGCTGGGGGTTTGCCTCACCGGGCTGCTGCTGCTGCTACTGCTGCTGCCGGCAGAGGGTTCCTCGGGGAGGTCAAACTGGGTCAGATCACACCACCCGTCGGGGTCCTGCACACAAAGGAAACCATCAGAAGCAGCCCAGGAAGGAAAGCTGAGCTGGTGCAGGTGCGGAGATGAACCGGGAGGTGAAATAAGTGGAGTTGTGAGATCATACTGGTATTTGCAAGGAGCCTGGCTAAAGGAGAGCTCGAGCCC